TGATTTGGGGGGCTTAGGAGAGTGTCCGTATTGGGCACAGTGACTCCTGCTTCCCAGAGCTCTTCATTTCCAGGGGGACATTTCCAGGGAACAGGGCAGGATACAAGGACGCTGTTCTGGTCCATCCCTGCTCCCCAGCCGCTGTGGTCCTGGGTGGTCTTTCTCTGGGAAGGGGCTTAAGCTCGCAGGTCCTTGCGCTTCCAGCAGCCCGGTTCCCGGGTCTGGGGTCAGCAGCTATTTCAGGGTACAGTCTTAGAAAGCAGGAGGGCTGCCCAGAGCCGGGCCGTGGTCCACCGAGGAAACGGGGAGGGCCAGCGACCGCATGCAGGTGTCTGCCCCGCTCGAGGAGAATCTGTTCACCAGGCTCCCCACCCCCGAGTTTTACTGGCACATCCCAGTTCTCATAGTAATTAGAAAGTGGCATCAGCACAATTTTAATTCTAGGGAGGGAGGGAAGACAGTGCCCAGCTACAGGGGTCAGTGGCCCAGAGCGTCCTGCAGAACAGAGTGGACGTCGCATGTCTTCGTCGTGTTCCCAGCCTGACTGGTCAGCCTGACCGCGTGGCTGGGGAAGGGTGTGCTTCGCAAGCGTTTATGTGCCTGACCTCCACCCTAGATCTGGCAGCGGAGGGGCGGGGGAGAACCCCAGCCGCCACCTGTGGTTTGGGAAATAGTGTCTTAGCACCGGCTGGGTCTCAAGCACATGGACCAGGCTCCCCACAGCCCCTCTGAACTACCCTCGGGCACGAGGATTTGGGATGTTCAGCCTGGTCGAGTGGAGGGAGCTGCATCCTATTCAGTCAGTACTCAGTGTCCATTGCCTGGAGTCCAGCCTGGATTGCTAACTGGTCTACCGCGTGCAGGTACCACCCAGTATTCCATTCCCCGTAGCAAAGGTGCTTGCAGTGTAAGCGGTCAGCTCCGTGCGTGGGTGTTGAACGTGGACGAGGACCAGGAGGGAGTTGCTCTCCCATGCTGGAAGGATGATGAAAAGGCGTCCATTCTTTCCCGTGCAGCAGGGGAAATACCAAGATCAGCCCTGGGCTGGGCGCTCCTGCCACACACACACACACAGACACACACACACACACACACACACACTCCCGTTTGCATCTCCCTCCACCTCTGGGACTGTCCTTGCTTCGTGAGGTTCCGCTGCCCAGACGTAAGACGCGCAGGCGAAATCCGCCGTTTCTCAAGTCCTCCAGCTCCAGCGCTCACCTCTCTTTCCAGTTTTCATGGCAGCCACATCAAGGGGCAGCCTCACTAGGAAGACTCTCACAATCATTTACTAGATGGCTACAAAATCTCCATCATCATTCGAATCGAATGATTCCCTCCATCATCATTCGAATCGAATGATTTTCTCTCCTGTTCACCTTTATGAGCTGAGGTTTTTCATTTGAGCTAGTGGGATGCGAGCACTCGCAGTGGTCCGCAGAGAAAAAAACCCTTCTGAGCAGGACGTTTGCTGGAATGGGAAATTGTCAGGGCTGTTTGGAACAGTGACGTCCGTTTGTGTGGTCCCTGTGTCCTTCATAATTCCACTCTTCCCGTCTTTCCCACATAAATGAAAGCTCTGTAGATCTTATTGATTCTTCTCAAGATAGCATCTGAGGACAAGACAGCGAGACGAGAAAATCTGGTGAAAATCGCGCGTTGGCCCCAAAGGTATGAATTTGCATGCCTTTGGCTTCTCGGGGCTTCCTTCGTGGAAACCTTTGCTGTCCCGCAGTTTGGCTCCTGAGTCAGGAAAGTGCTGCGGGAAACAGCAGCCCAGTCCAGCCCATGTTTGGCTCACGAACTTCCCCTTCGGTTTCACGAGTCTGCAAAGCGGCTTCGCTTTGAAGGCCGAGCAAGCGAAGCAGCTGTCAGGTTGCAGCTCCCCAGGGCTGACGGCAGAGGCCTGCAGCCCCGGCCAGGGCCCTGCGTTCCGAAGCGTGGTCCCTCGTCCTTGCCAGCCAGTGGTCAGTAATGGACTCGGTTCTGCGGGGAAAAATGGAGCCAGTCCCCAGCATCACCCCGAGAGGGATGTGTCGTGCAGACGGCAGAGGGGCCTGGCACCCCCAGACAGCACCCGGAACGCGCCTCGCTTCGGCTCACGGCAGCTTGCCTGGCTTGTCATTTCCGCCAGCGGAAATCACGGCATTTCTCCGGAGCTCTGCCTGCGAAACCAAACAGATGCTTGGCGTTTCCAGACGCTTTTTGAAGGATCGTCGTTCGAGGGGGTTTCCCGTGCTCGGCCCCACTGGAACAGCTTAGATAGGGGAGACAGGACTTACCCAGCGGGTGTGACAGGCTGAGCGTGGCCCAGGTGCCTTTGTGGCCGCGGTGTGGGCACACCAAGTATATCTTACAAGGCTGCAGGGCCGAGTGAGTAAACACAAGAAATTAGAGAAAACATAAAGACAACAGGAGTCTCCAAAGGCTGAGGCATCGCAACCATGAGGCCGAAAACCGATGGTTCGTAACAAAGATGCATCATGTACACGGTTTCGTATGAAATAAAAAGCAGTCATTTTGTCTACACAGAAAAATGGAAGCCTTCCCACCTCCGATATGGAAGAATTCCTACAAACCTGACATAGTTTGTCTTTTCATGTGAATAAAACTGTGTACTACGTTCTTAAAAATAATTTTCTTAGAAACGTAATAAAGTCGGTTCAGGAGAAACCTTGGCATAAAATAGTTTAAGTCTTCTGCAAATAAAAGTAAGTAAAAATATCATGGCACAACTCAGCCCCAAGGCGCCAAGGGGTATGGCGGGGCCGCCCAGAGAGCTGGGGTGACGTCACCTCTGTCACCCATCCAGGAAGCATCATCGATTTCCTCTCCTTCCACCTCTGATTTATCCTGAGAACTTTCACAAGAGTCCAAAAATAGGCTCTGAAAATCGGACCCATCTGGGAACTTGAGGGAAAGTACTGGTCATTTTGCTCGGGAGCCTGGTGGGGCAGCACGTGGGCAGCTGGGCCAGCCTCGGAGGACCACGCTGTCCTGGGGCACAGGACCACGCCTTTTGCCTCCAGCGCCTGGTGTAGAGAGGCACACACCCCGGCCCATACCGTGAAATGTTGGAGACTAAAATTGTGTTTGCAAAGGCTTTGCAGTGTGAGAACAATGCTGGCTTTAGATACTGAATTGTCAAAAAGCTGAATTTAAGAGTTGCATATACTGTCTGCCCTCAATCATGTTAGAAACATATGCATTTAAACGGAGGCAGACGGAGAGAGAGAGGACCCAGTGTAGACGCGAGAGACCCGTCACAGCGCCACCTCTGGTGACTCCTCTGTGTAGCTCAGGTTCTCACGCTCAGTCCTCACGCAGCCTCTCCTGGCGGCACACGCGTCTCTGAGAGGCACCTCACGAGCTCTCGGCCGAGCATCGCTGCCACTTCGGCTCCTCACCCGAGTGTGGCTGTCGGGGTTCCTTGTGGAGGGCCCCAAAGCCCAAGGAGAGCCCAGGCATCTTCAGAAACCCGCCAGTCTCCCTCAGGATGCAGGGGAAAACCCTGTCATGTTAACTCGTCCTCAGCAACGCTGTGACTCCAACATGGAATGTTGCCCCTTCCCCCCAAGCCCCGGGCCCGCGTCACAGACATAGCGGGCAGAGCCTCGCGAGCCGCTCCCCCGATCCCCATCGTGACGCACACCGACGTGCCGGGGACGCCTCGCTGGCGCCCCGCGCTCCTCCCGCAGAGGGTCGTGCCCGCCATCTGCAGAGAGAACGTCACGGCTTCCCCTGGCCCTTCAGGCTTCTCCACAAACACCGAGGTGGAGCCTCTCGGGCCCCAGAGTTTTCCACGGTTTTCGGTTTTTGCTTAAACACCCTGATTGGAAGGACGAACATGAGTGAAAGTCATCGGGCCATCGCCATCCACAGTTCAAACGGCTGCTCCCGAAGGCAGCGCAAGGCCCTCCGGCCAAGAGCGTCCTCATTTCTGAGACACGCCGAGCATGTGCCTCCCGCCAGCTGCCGGCACATCGGAGAGCAGTGCCACTGGGCCGAGCCTGGACCCAAGTCCGTCTCACCTCCGTCCCCGACAGCATGCGCGTCGACAAGGAAGGATTTTATAACCAGGGAAGAAAAAGGCCACTTTCAGACCGAACGGCCTCTCACATGAGCAGACTTTATGAACCTTCTGCTGGAGTTACCGCTTTCGAAGTCATACAAAAGAACATCGACCCTGAATCCGGTCGACCCTCTAGATCCAACTGCCGAATCACAGGACGTGTGAGGGTTGGGGAACAGGCGACGGACACCACCTAGATGTGAGCTGGAAAATCCTCTAATCAGCACCAAAAAAAAATAGGAAAAAAGCAGCGGGAGCTAAGCCGGTCAACCCGGTTTCTGTCACGAATAAAATGAATAGAAAAATAAATGAGCTTAAGGGTGAACCTGCCGATTAAAAGAGAGGAAGGACCTCAGCCAGCGGCAGAGTGTGGGGTTCGTTCAGATCCTGACTCAAGCAAGCAGATCAGATTATGGTCTCTGTGGCACGGTTGCAGCTGGAGCGGTGGATGCCCAGCCACAGTACGGGACTCTGATCGGTTTTCGGACGTCGTAATGGCCTTGCGGTTTGGTTTAAAAGCTGAAGAATCCCAGTCTTTTATAGATGCGTGTTGCAATATTTACAGGTCTGGCATTTGCTTCAGAATTCTGCGGGGCTTGGGGACGCACGTTGACAGTTGTCGCAGTCAGGTGGATGAGACAAGGAGGGCTTTTATTTTTATATATGTTTGAAGTTTTCCGCTAAAAAAAAAAAATGTTAGGGAGAACAGACAAACTGTGCTGGAGAGAGTCATTTCCAAGTGGGGACGGGGAAGGGTGACATCCAGCAATCTGAAGAAGGACGGCGGGGCCGGGACAGCCCTGGGGATGGGGGAGAAGTAACTACGTGGACCGTCCTCAGGAGGTGATGCAGAGCTGCCTTGACAGACAGTCCCGCACCCCGGAGAGATGGCGCCACCTCTCACCGCAGCCTCTTTGTCCCCTCCCAGCTGGTCCGTGGGGACCTGGAGCAGCTGCAGCCGGACGTGCGGGGGCGGCACGCAAAGCCGAGAGGTCCAGTGCACGCGGCGGGCCCACTACAGATCAGAGCGGGTCTCGGCCACCCTGTGCCCGCAGCCTGTCCCCTCCAGCCGCCAGGCCTGCCAGCCCCAGAGCTGCCCGCCCGCTTGGAGTGTGGGGCCCTGGGCACAGGTAACTCCGGCAGGGTTGGTACGGGGCGGCAACTCGGCCCTGTGGAGCACAGAGCTGGGTTCTCATGGGGTCTGGCACGACCTGGGCCCTGGGACCCCCCAACCCCCCAGCGAGGTCCATCCATTCTCTGCTGGGCGCTGACCGTCACTCTCTCCCTGGGCAGTGCTCGCGAACCTGCGGGAGGGGCTGGAGGAAGAGGTCCGTGGCCTGCAGAGGCACCAGTCCCACGGCCAGGGCACAGCCGCTGCCCGACGCCCTCTGCAACGCGGAGCCCAAGCCCAGGACTCACGAGGCCTGTCTGCGTAAGCGCTGCCGCCAGCACAGGAAGCTGCAGTGGCTGGTGTCGGCCTGGTCGCAGGTACGTGCGCCCCGTCCCGACCCGCCCTCCCCTCGCTGCCTCCCACGCCGGCTCCTCCTCCGCTTCTCCCTGAGTCTCTGCCGGCCCCCATCCGGGCCACCCCGGGGCGTCGGCCGGCCTCGAGGCACCCCACTCCACCCCACCCCACTCTGAGACTCAGGTCTCAGCCTCCAGACCATGTCCCTGAGCAGCACCCCCACCGGCACCCACGAGGTCACCCTCATTCACTGCGGGGCATGAGTAGGGCCGCCTGAGGGGCTGTCAGAAGCTCCTGGCTCTGGTGTGTGTCACCGCAGAGGTGGAGGTGTCAGAAACCCCAGAAGGACCTCGGGAAGCTAACAGCGCAGGGTGACAGCAGCACCCCACAGTGTGGGAGCTGTGGGAAGGGGGCGTTTAGAGACTGGCTGCGGAGTCCTGGAGTGTCCTGTCTGGGTCTCCCAGCCGTATGGGAAGAGAGGCCCAGCTCCTGACCCCACGCTCCTCCTGGGGGCAGACACGGCCGCGCCCAGCCCGCGCCTGGACCGGTGCCTCGTTCAGGGGGCAGCATCCATCATGAGGGGGCGGGGGGCTGTGCCAAGCAGGGCACTTAACTCTGCAGAGACGCCGTTTCATCCCTCCCCTGAAACGTGAAAACACATCGCTCACTGAAGCAAGCCCACCCCGGCGAAGGGAGAGCTCGAGGCCCTGTTGCCTGGGACGCAGGCATGACGGTCCTCGGAGCACGGGTCACGCTGACCTTAGACGGGACCCGGAGGCCCCGCCCAAGGAGGGAAGAGACGCGGGCTGCGTGATCATGGGTGGGAAATCCTCGCCCTGAATCTCTCTCTCACACAGACACACACACATGTGCACACGCACACACAAGCACACACAAGTACACACATGCACATGGACGCACAGGCACACACATGCACATGGACGCACAGGCACACACAGGCACACACATGCACACGGATGCACAGGCACACACATGCACACGCACACACAGGCACACACGCACACACAGGCACACACATGCACATGCACAGAGATGCACACACAGGCACACGCACACACAGGCACACACGTGCGCACGCGCACACAGATGCACAGACCTGGCCTCTCTCCTGGGCCATGCCTCCGAGCCTCCTAGCTCTGTCTCTGTCTTGGCATCACGACACTCACAAGACACACCGGGAAGTCACACCTAAGCATGGGCGTGCCAGCCAGAACCTGGGCAAGTGCGACCGGCTGGGGTCTCCGCTGACACAGCCTGCAGACAGCAGAATAGGCGAAATCACCCAACAGGCTCAGCGTCACCCCCAAATGCACCAGCAGTGCCGGGCGCTGGGACCCTCTGCCCGTCCTTGCAGCCCGGCCCTCTGCACACTGTGTGCCTTGTCCCCTGTGTCCTCCCCACATGCCCTGCAGCTGTGGCCTCCGCCCGGGCCCCTGGCCCACCAAGGACCCCTTTGCACGTGCCAGGGTGTCCAGCAGCAGTGACAGCTCCGCCTGGGAGACGCCTCCACGGGGACGAGCAAACCCCAGAAGGACCTCGGGAAGCTAACAGCGCAGGGTGACAGCAGCACCCCACGGCGTGGGAGCTGTGGGAAGGGGGCGTTTGGAGACCGGCTCCCCGTGGGTGCTCGCTCTCTTCATGGGGAGCACTGGGCTTTCTGGGAGGATCTGCGAGGCCTGGGTTCCCTCTGCCAGTCGTCCGCACGCCGCAGTGGGTGCTGCTGATCCGTGGAGCTCAGGGCCCCAGCGCGCGTCCTGCGTGTTATTACGCTCAGCGCCGGGCCACGATGCCCTCAGCGTCCTCCTGTTTGATGCAAGGTTCTGTGATGCCCGCACATCTCAGTGGATGTTCGCGCCCGGCTAAGGCTCCGGCTGACGTGATCGGGAGCTCGTGCGACGCGGCGATTCTTTAAGAGGCGGCCGCCTCGGAAGACACCGTCCTCATGCGTGCCTTTCGTGGCCTTTCGTTTCCAGTGCTCTGTCACGTGCGAAAGCGGAGCACAGAGAAGGTTCTTCAGATGTGCTGAAAAGTACGCGTCGGGGAAGTCCCGGGAGGTGGCCTCGAAGAAGTGCTGGCACTTGCCGCCGCCCGACCTGGAGCTGGAGCGCTCGTGCACCCTGTCCCCCTGCCCCGGGCGGCCCCCGTTTGCCGCTGCAGGCCCCCCACGGGCCCGCTGGTTCGCCTCGCCCTGGTCTCAGGTAGGGGGGCTCTCGGTGCAGAAGGGTGGGCGGGTGAGGGTCCTGCTCCGGACCTTGGCTGCTGGCTCAGTGGAGGGTCCCCACAAGGGCGTCGGAGCCCACCGCGTGGTCCCTGAACCTTCTCTCCAGAGCGGGCGCAGATGCCCGTGTTCCTGGGGGTGTGTGTGGCTTTCCAACACGGTCGCTCTCCAGATGTGACTGAATCTCTCAGGCACGTCTGCCGAGTTCTGAATCGTCACCCAGTTAAGAGCAGGAAAATGTAAGGACAAAGGAGTCAGCCACGTGTGGCATGGCCTCCCCTGCCCCCACAGTTGTCCCCTGTAGGCGGTGACTGCGTGGCCCGTCCAGCCGTTCACCCACTTGCCCACGCACCTCACCCTCCGTGCCAAACTTTCCCTGGGACCTTGCGCTGGCCTGGATGGGGTGAGCTCTCAGCACAAGCAGCCCATCCCACGGAGAATTGGGGTGCCCCTCCAAGGAGTGTACCCTGTACCCTGACTTCGCCAAGGGGGAAGACCAGGGGTCCTGGGCTAAAAGGCAGCATGGACAGAAAGCAGACCCGGGAATGGAGACCCCTCTCGCCCTGGAACTGTGCTGTAGCTTCGCCAGCCCAGTGACCATCACAGGGCAAGGCTGCCCACGGGAACATGAGCTGCTCGAGGCACATGGGGTCACAAGGTCACCATCCTGACCACTGTGCACCCAGAAGTTGCTTTGCGGCAGGTTTATGCAAAGTATTTTACATGTGGCTCAGCAGCACGAGGTTCCTGACCTGGCTCTTTCACTTAGAAATCCATGAGAGCTTTGCGGCAGGTTTATGCAAAGTATTTTACATGTGTGTTCCATGTATTTGCATGTGTGTCCACATACATGCATACATACACATACACACATGCATATACATACATACATAGTGCATACTCACATAGCACATACATATGCATGCATGCATAGCACATGCATGCACACATAAATGCATGGCTTGCACACGCACATACATAGTATATACATAGCAAGTGCATGATGCACACATAGTACACATGTGTGCATGCACAGTGCATGCATGCATGCATGCATAGCACACACATGCCTGTACGCAGCACACACATGCACATATATGTCTGTGTGCACGGCACATGCACACATACACAGTACACACATAGCACATATATGTGCATGCATGCAAGGTGCATGCATGCACACAAGCATAGCACATAGGTGCATGGTACATGCGTAGTGCATGTATAATGCGTGTGTGGTACATGCATGGTGCATGCATGCATGGTGCATGTGCATGGTGTGTGTACATACATGTGTGTATGCATGCATGCACACATGCATAGTGCATATCTCCCCAGTGTCCACCAGGGCACCTAGCCCATACTAGGTGTTTAGGGAACATTTGTCGAATGTGCAAATTTTAAAGGAAATACAAATGCCGCTTCTCGTTCTTACGCGGCGACCTTGCCTCTCCTGGCGTGGACGAAGCACACACTTGCTCAGGGTCCTCTTTCCATCATCCATTGACATCACGTGCTCTGTCGAGAGACCCACACGTAGTGGCTTCATCTTTAAAATCCAAAGTCAACTGTCACTCTCCAGCCACACACTTCCTCCCTGCTCACCCGTGGCTGAAGTCAAAACAAACACCATCTCGCGTGGCTGGTGTGTGGCAGGCTGGAATGTGTGTGTCTGGTCACCAAGGATGTCCCGAGTCTGTGTTCCTCATCAGGTGACGGCGGAGAGCTCCCGAGAAGGCAGAGGGGACGCGGCCAGACAAGCTCAGTGAGAGCTGTCGGGGGTTTACTTCCTGGGCAGACAGCTGTGTCCCCGGCCCCACAGACGGCTCTGTGTCCCTGGCCCCACAGATGGCCGTGTCCCTGGCCCCATAGAAACCAACAACAGTTTGATTTGTGTAAATTTTTGTTGAGGACTGAGAATGCCTGCTATTGACCCGCCACCTGGGCAGGCCACTCCATAGGCAAGGTGGCACTTGTCTATACTTCCTGTCCTGTACAGGACATCAGTGTCCAGGACTGGAAATCACTGCCCATGAGAGACAGGTGGGAGCTTGTTGAGTGTGCTGGCCAGGGTCCAGGACAGGAAGTGACCAGGAGGTTGAGCTGAGCGGCCCGGTGTGACCGCACGTGCTTGGCCTGACTGGGCCATCGGCCCCTGACCGACCAGGTCCCCTGCCACCTGTCTCCCCTCACGTGTCCTCATTCTCCCAGCGTGAGCCTGTCTCCACCTGGAGGACCTGCCTGTGCTCCCCGGCCCATCTTAGTCCCCCCGGATGCAAACCCCCCAGCTGCAGACGGCTCCTCTCAAGGAGGGCACCCCACCATGCTCATGCACTGAACAGTGTCCCCCAAACTCACATCCACCCAGAACCTCAAAGGTGGCCTTATTCATGAAAAAGGCCTTTGCAGATGTAAGGAGCTAAGGCCATCCTGGATTGGGGAGGGGGGACCCTAAACCCAGCGACTGGTGTCCTTATGAGGCCGTGTGAAGACAGACTCACGCTAGGGGCACGTGGTATGGGGTGATGCCGCACGAGCCATAGAACACCTGGGCGTGCTGGCAGCCCCAGACCCTGGGGACGGACAGACGCTCTCGGAACTGCCATGAGGACCCGCTCCATCAACACCCCGAGTTCGGACTTCCGGCCCCCTAAGCCACAGGAATTGTTTCTTTTCGTGTGAGCCCCCCGCGTGTGCTCACATGTGACCACAGTCCAGGGAATTCGTGCGGGTGGTTATCTGTGTCCTCACCCCATCGTTGCTTCGTCCTCCCCGTGTGAGCTCACCTCCACCGCCGGCAAGGGCTGCGTCTCATTTAACTGCGTGTTCCCCATAGCCCGGGCCTGGGCTGCAAGGACCACAGGCAGGGGGCAGAAGGTGCTGAATCCGACAGCGCCATGTGCCTGCTGCCACCAGGACCTCTCCCGCAGACGCGTGGGGCTTGGAGGGGAGGCCTCAGGCTCTGTGCGTCACAGTCCTCTGATGCCGGGGTGGCCGAGGTGACGGGCTCTGGACCTTCCCCTCTGGGCTCTGCCGATCGCCCACAGACCGGGGTCGCCCGGATCTGCCTCGCCCTCCCCCAGGGGGCCATCCACACTACGAAGGGACAGTCTTCTCTGCAAACCCGACCCTGAGTATCCAACTGAAGCGAACAAACAGGACGGAGCGAAACTCACACGTGGTTATTACCCTCAAGCCGAAAGGAGACAAACGGATATTTACCAGAACCTGTGTAATCCATCACCGACTCTTTTTCAGCATTAGCCAAAGTTTTTCTAGACTAAAGTGTTAAAATGCCCCCCGAATGATGCCGCAGCTCATTCTGCTGGCGCCCCGGCCGCGTCTGTGTGAGCCCGGGCTTACATGTCTGTCAGCCAGCCTGGCTGCCACCACTCCTCTGCTGCCCTGCCCCAGGGTCCGCGTTCTGTGGAAGGCACCATCCCTCGGTCCCTGAGAGGACGCAGGACACCTTCCCAGACCTGGCATGCCACCCTCGGCATGGCTCAGCAGCACGAGGTTCCTGACCTGGCTCTTTCACTTAGAAATCCTCCCCAAAATGCACTCGAGTTAGAAACTGTTTGAGTTACTGGAGCAGGGGACGTTTGAACTATGTCCTTTTCAAGCATTTCCTATTTCAAATTGACAAAAAGCATCCGCAGTTACAAACTCTTCGCTTTACTCCTCCTCCGAGTGTGGTCTTTCCGCCACAGGTGTGGAGTCAGGTTGCCCCTCGGGCAGGGCAGCCGCGTTTTGCTTCTTCTGTCCGCTGAGAAGTGTGGGTCAGAGGCAGAGGCCGTTTTCTGAGATCGTTTTCTGTCAGTGGGGAACCAGAGGCTCCTGAGACCAGTTCCCCACCCTCCGGCCACCAGGCCTGTGGTCACCCCACTCTGCTCGACTCAGAGACTCCAGGTAGATTCACCAAGAGGAAAACAAGGGGCATCAGTAGCTAAACGAAAACATAAAACCTAAAACGCGTCTCCAGTAGCTTTCTCCCTTCCAACTCCCTCGGTCTATCTGTCTGCTAAATCTTTTCCTCGAGTGCTGCCTGGAGTTTTAGCCGGATTGATCCATCTAAAGTGTGCTGAGACTTCCCTTTCGGGGGACAATGACTCAGTGCTGTGTCCCCATCAGCACTTGCACCCAGGGCGCCGTGCCCTGAGACTGTGGGAAATTGTCAGGCTGTAATGAATGGCTGGCGCCCGGCTGAACTTTGCCCCCAGACGCTTTATCCCTGTAACCATTGACTGACGCTGGTTTCTATTATTTGATCTGCAAGGTTTCTATTGATTTAAATGGCTTTGCTTCTCATTACGTTTAGTGATCTGTCGCTTGGTAGGACCGATTTAAATCACATGAGTCCTTTGGGCTTAGGGACAGGTGGGTCACAGGCTAGTGGGCTTGGGAGTGGCTTAAGTAGGGACACCTGCTGGGCTGTCTGACAGATGACAGTGGCCTCCAAGGCCACCCAGGGGAAAGGTTGCCGTCTCTTCACTGAATGGCTTGTTTACATGTCTGCAGTTCGCCACACATTGGCTCTGGGCGGCACCTTTTTTCAGATTTAGATGTGGCTGATGTCAGTTCTGAAAAGAAAAAGGAAAGAAAGAGGCTTCTGCAGGTGCGATTCCAGCCGCCTGGCGTGGTGGCCCCGCCCACAGCGCGATTCCAGCTGCCTGGCGCGGTGGCCCCGCCCACAGCGCGATTCCAGCCACCTGGCGCGGTGGCCCCGCCCACAGCGCGATTCCAGCCGCCTGGCGCGGTGGCCCCGCCCACAGCGCAGCAGCGTCTGGGTTAGAAACAGAGGTTCCCAGGTTCCAGCCCAGACCTGCCGAAGCTCGAGACTTGGGGGCGGGTTCCAGAATTCTCTTGTAACAAGTTCTGTAGGTGGTTTGAAGTCATGCTCGAGTTTGAGATCCACTGATTTGAAGGTGAAGCTAACAGAAAAGGGGTCTGGACAGATGGTCGCAGAACTTGTCACTGCCGTAAACGGATGAGCAGGTACGAGCACGGGTCACCATCGCTGCACAGCACACTGGCCTCCTCTGTCCTGCTGTCAGGAGGAGGAGTTACCCAAGACAGAGGTCCCCAACCCCTGGGCAAGTAAAGCTTCATCTGTATTTGCAGCTGCTCCCCAGCGCCAGCATCACCGCCTCAGCTCCACCTCAGATCGTCAGGCGCTAGATTTTCATAGGAGCACCGGTCCCTGGTGCCAAAAAGGTTGGGAACCTCTGGACTAAGGGACTCAGTTAATCCCCACGAAGCCGAGGAAGAAGCCACAAGCTTCAACTCACAGACCCAGGTTCTCTCTCTCTTCTTACTGAGTATAGTTCCCCCAACCCCGTCGGGTCACATGACTCGCCCCCACACCTGCTGGCCTCCCAGCCTCCCCAAACCCTCCCAGACCTCCAGTCTCCACCCCAGGAGCCCACGTGGTTATCAAGAGTCCTGGTGCTTCTTAGAGTCAGTCTGCTTGGAAATCACAGATCCAGTGGACGATCCGAAGTGGGAATTCTCACCACCGGTGCCAAGTTTTAAGCCGTTGTATTTGCGATATTGATGAACAACTTGCGTGTGTGCGTGTTTTTCCCCTTCCTGGGAAGAAAAGCGAATAAACCGTTTCCGGTTTCCTCTTGTCCTTCCATCTCCTGGTGTGGCACTGGCTCTGCCACCGCCAAGTAGCTTCAAAATTTGCAGCCGAACATCTTAGTCCTTCCGGTTTCCATGAAGATATGCAAATTTTGCAAAATGTGGAGGCTTTTTTTTTTTTTTTCACCAGAAAAAGTATGCTTCTCACGAGGAATTCTAAAACTCTAGACCCGTGCCCCTCACACTCGGTGTGCAGGAGAAGCACCTGGGGACTGTGCAGATCCAGGCAATCGGGGCAGTCGGGGGGTGGGGCAGACACCCTGGCGGGACACTCTGTTAAGTCCCTGAGAAGGACACTGGGTGCTTGTGTCTACCACTCCGTGTTCAGTGCCTGGAACAGGGCCTGCCGAAGGGGGGCAAGTGGCTCCTATTCATGAACCGGCGAATCAGTGACAAAAAGAATCAGACCACACAGTCACTATTTGGGCGCCGTTCGCGTGATGACAAAGGGTGGCCAGATCTCCTGATTTCTGATCGAAGCATTATATCCTCATCGAGAATGGGATTCCGCCCCAGCTGCTGATTAGAAGGAACTCAGTTCATGAGGCGGAGGCCTCGCCAACACCCGCGGACGCGGACGTGACCAGGAGAACCTGTGAACTGCTGGCCTGCGGCGTGAGCCAGGAGGGGGCTGAAACGCACGGAGCCCAGAGGTGGAGGCTGCTGAGGGGGATCTGGAGCAGGCGAAGATGCCTCACCACCTTCGTCAGGGTCTTGCTGACCTAGAAATAAAGGCCTTTCACAGTGGGAGGCAACGAGCATTTATTTGAGATCAAAGAATAGCTATTCGGGACACACCGAATCAGACAGGAGCCTAAAGAGTGCTCCCACGAGGAGACGAAGACCGGGGTGTTCGTGAGAAGGGGACGAGGAACGGTGACACCCATCGAAGAAAGGCATCTCTGCTGTTGCAAATAACATAACGGTGACGATAGTTCTAAGTGACGTTTTGATTTTCAGCCCCGTCGTCATTAGTCTGGTAGACACGTCAGTTTTCCTGTTGTCTTTGCAAACTGTGATTTGGGACACGGCGCTGCCTTCGTCCCAGTCCAGCTGAATTTTGCCCTGTTTTAACATCCCGAAGATTCAAGGCATAAGATGTGCAAGGCGGCTCCTCCGGGATGGCAGCTCTGGCTCCGCTTTAAACGGGCTCCCCTGACGTGCTTTTTGACAGTCCCTGCCCCCAGGGGATTTAAAGGGCCACTTTGCAGGGCTGTGACTGCAGCAGGTCCCCCGAGTAAACCCCTGGAAAGCAGCTGGCTGAGCCGGGCTGTGGGAAACCAGACCCGGGCAGCTGCCTTGCCGTGCGGAAGGGGGTTCTGGCAGGCCGCCCGAGGCCTGCATGGCCCTGACACTGGACAGCGTCCTCCTTGCATTTTAAAGCAGCCACTGAGCTTACCCACCATGCACTGAGACACCCAAAATGTCACCAGCCCCATCTTCCTGCAGGTGTTCCTTAATTGCCTTCATTCCTGACTTTTTTTTTTACCTCATAGCCTCGTGTGAGCACAAATTGCATAATTCAGTCTAGACTTGGAGCAGCTATCTTTTTGGACAGGTTCATTGCAGTTTGGGGTTCCTATGTCTCTCTGATCGCCCTTCCCCCGACTTCTTGCCTGCGGTTGATTTCGGGCGGACCCGCCCTGAAATTCTGTGGTGCGTGCGTCTGGCCGCTGGCAGAGGGTGCTCTAGCTGTGACACTGCCTTGTCTGGCTCTGCTGTGCTGGCGTGCCTGAGCACACAGGCCCTCAGGTCAGAGAATGACACCTGCCAGACGAGAATGCCGTGAGGACATGAACCCAGGACTGGCGTCGCCACCCGCAGGCATCCGGAGCCTCAGGGGCTCAGTGCTGTCCTGCCTCGGTGGACACAGAGGAGCAGAAGGGGTGCCGTCCAGGAAGGCACTGTTTTCCTTGTGCCAGACTCACAGCAGGGACGAGGTCCAGGGAACAGCCCTGTGCCCCCAAATGCGCTCCAGTTCCCATGTGTTCATCAAGCCATAGGTGACTCAAGAACATTCTAGACTTTGGGGCACTTCTTTCCTCTGTCCATACCTGGGATTAATCCAGAATCTGGCTAGCCACCTGCAGTCGTAGAGAGAGATCATTTTGAGGAGTCTGGATGGAGGGGACACTTGGGAGTGGCGGGGGGACGAGAAGTCAGCACTCCCGGGTGACTGTCACACACGTGTTTCCTGCAGTGCACGGCCAGCTGTGGGGGCGGCGTGCAGACCAGGTCTGTGCAGTGCCTGGCGGGGGGCCGGCCGGCCTGGGGCTGCTTCCTGCACCAGAAGCCCGCAGCCTCCCTGGCCTGCAACACTCACTACTGCCCCATCACGGAGAAGAGAGGTGAGTGCCAGAGCCCCTCGACCTTGGCCTGTGGGGTGGGGCCGTGGGGTTCTCGAGGGGTTCCTTGCAGGGCCTAAGGAAGTGGGGTGCCCTCTGGTTAGAGGGCCGTAGAGTTTGGGTCTCGAATCTGCTGCCTCTTTCCTCAGGTTCCACTCCCTCCTCCGGTTCTCCCGTGAAACGACCCCCCTCGTGCCTCCCCAGGAATGGCTCCGACGGTGGGGAAATAATGCTAATAGCTTCAAGTTTTAAATTCGAATAATTAAGAAAATGTCATGTCTTTTGTATTTCAATGCGATTCACTTTACTCAGAGAAGGCAGCATCCCCCCTAAGTTAAATGAAGCCCCCCTCATTCACTGGGTGCTGTCTACATGCCATCCCTGTGCACAGACCCTCAAATGCCTCAAGTATTAGCAGAGACCCGGGGCCTGTCTGTCGGCGCATCTCAGGGAGAAGACAGAGCTGGGCAGAGTGGGCGCATTGGCTCAGTCGGAGACTTGGATGATGGCGGTTCTGTCCACAGCCGGCCCACTGTCTGCAGTGGATGAGCAGCCGAGTGGGTTGGATCAGCCCAAAAAGGTGTCGGCTTCACAGGGGACTTCTAGGAGGGCCTTATAAACCAGCTGGTTCCTCATGGCCCCATTTTATCTGGAGAGAGACCGTCCCTCGCCAGCGTCAAGGCAACGATAAAGCCACCTCACGCTGCCCGCAGAGTTATTAGCTAGCGGCACGGGACAGGGCGTGGGGACGTTGACTAACGTGGCGTTGGCTCATTTTCAGACGCCCTCTGCAAAGACCGCCTGGCCTGGTGCTCCCTGGCGCCCCAGCTCCCGATGTGCAGCCTCCAGCTCTCCAGCCAGCAATGCTGCGGGGCTTGCTCCAGACCCAGCCCGTGAGCCAGTCAGGCGGCCTCCGCAGACTGAGAAAACGGCTGGTTCCAGCACCCACGAGCTGTCCCGCCTACGTCCGAATGCATCCAAGGAGGATGGAAGCCGGAAGAAGAGCCGTTAGGCTCTTTGACACGGCTGTGTGCATGTGCGTGTGCGTGTGCGTGTGTGTGCGTGCCTGTGCACACACGAGCACGCACTCTCGTGCAGGGTTGGAGCCTGGACGCAGGTGGCAGCTCACTCTGCACACACCAGCATTCGTATTCAGCTAAATCGAGTCAGGCAGGTGGACCGAACGTGTGAAACGCTGAACGTCTGGTGCTTTGCAATGGGAAGAAAAGGCCACAAATTTAGGAGTAAGTAGGAACGTCCGCCGCTGAGTGTGCCGGCCTCCCTCCTACCTCAGGGGCCCCTGGCCGAGGTCAGGGATAATCAGCCTCTGACCGGGAGATGCAGGTGCCGGGCACAGAGCCCAGCCGTGTCTCCAGGGCCCCCTCTTCCTGCCCCAGCAACCGAATATGTCTTCGAAGGGACTCGGCGCCAAGACCGGAGCCGGTGTCCTCTCTAGGGGGTGCCCGCCTGCCCGGGAGAGGTTGGACTTGGTCTGGATTTGGGACTTTACCCTCAGAAACAGGAAAATTAAATTCCTGCTAAGGTGCTTCTTCTGCCCTTTCAGACTCACGTGCTGGAGGAGAGAATTTTGTATTTTACATTTTTATCTTTCTCAGTTATTTACAAGTGTATATTTCCACTTAAGCCCATTTCTTAATGCTTTTCTTTTTAAATGACAGAATTAACAGGTTACACCAGAATTAGAGAATCCCAGCTATGCCTAAGCCCGCCGCCCTCGGAAGGGGCGCGGGTGGTCCTCCTCGGACAGATGAGCCAACGCGATAGCCATAGAACTCCGTGTTTCATTTTTATGTATTCTGGGGATTGATTACATTTTTCCTGAAATGCTACTTGTTTTTGTCAGCCCCGTTCAGAGAGGGGGGCCTCCGTCAGCACCAGGGCTGCTCAAACTGCTCCCCGCGATGCAGCTCCCGTGGGAATGGGCGCCTGATATGTATATTTGCTGAAGTTCTATAATAAATTTTATATTGTACAGCGTGCTTCCAAATGGCTCATAATCCCCATGAGGTTCACGTCTGACGTGCCGGCCACACAGAGACTGGGAAGCTGTCTCGGAGAGCTGGGGCTCTAGAACATTCTAGGAAGTTCCAGAACTGGTCTGAGGAGAAATCGTCCCGAATGTGAAGGCTGCAGGGAAGACGGCTGGTGACCAGGAATGGTGGTGACCGGCGTGGGGGTGGGCAGTGGCCTGGGGGACACCCAGCCTGGTGGCCACATATTTCGTGGCTTCCACTGCAATGTTAGCACTGCAGGTGAGGTGTCCCTGAGGGGCGCCACGAGAAATTAAAAGGCCTCCCCTGACCCAGGGGTCCCTGCTTCATTAGTCAAGATTCTCTAGAGAAACAGAACCGATAAGTTCAAAATAGAGAGGAGGGATTTATGCTAAGCAGCTGGCTCCCATGGTTGTGGGGCTGGCAAGTCCCAAAGCTAAGGCGGGTGGCGGTCTGGCCCCGTGGGCGAGAGCTAGTGCTGCAGCCCTGAGCCTGAGTCCCTCGTCTCTGAGGAATCTCAGTCTTCGCTCCTAAGGCCTTCAACTGATTGGGTGAGGCCCACCCATGTCATGGAGCGTAATCTGCTTTCCTGAAAATCTACCGATTTAACTGTTAAATGCTAACCACATCTAAAATATACCTTCACGGCAGCATCAGATCTGGTGTTTGACCAAACAAATGGACATCACAACCAAGCCAAACTCGCACATAAAACTGAACAACCCCCCTCTCCCTGGGCCCTCGCTGGGGCCCCGAGAGAAGCTGCTGCCACTCCCGGGATCATGGCCAGCAAGGTGGCTCCTGGCGAGGTCGGCCCCTGTCACACTCAGAACCTCCCTCTCACAGACAACGGCAGTGCCGTGGGGGCTGAGGCCGCAGACGTGGGGCTTTTCCTGGAGTCGCAGCTGAGCTAGGAGCCCGGAGACCCCCGGTGGCACCACGGTCCCACCCCCCAGGGACACTGGGGCCGCCCCCGAAACCTCTGTTGTCGAAGCAGAGTTTCAGCACTCCTTTGTCATTTCCAGTGACCCCTCGTTTGACACCTGCTGGCTGTGAAGAATGCAAAGGTGGCCAGACGTGGCTCCGCCTTCCCAGCCTTCATGTCCCTCAGGAAATAACACCCTGCAAGCTGCGAGCTGCCCCTGAGCCCCTGAGCGGCTCACAGGCATGTGGCCCGTGCAGTGCCTGGAACTGCCAGTCCCCAGACCCCGGCCCGGGACTGCCCGCCCCCACTGCTCGTCCCCAGTGGAGTAGACACATGCACTCTGGGCCCCGGTGCCCATCAGCTACTGCTGTCCCAGCCCTGAGGGTCAGGTCTCATCAGCCCTTCCCCCAGCCGAGGAAGCCAGGCCCACGCAGGCGGCCGCCTGCCTCAGGCCCCAGCAGTGCGGCCAGGCCAGGACCCAACACCAGCCGTGGGACTCCAGCGCCCCACCCCGATTCTCTGTCATGAAGGGATGGACCCCAGAGGGCACTGGCCGGGGGCAGGAAAGACCATGTCATCGAAGAGAGAGCGCCCTTCCTCGCCCACCCTAGGCCATGAGGAAATCGCACGTTGGTACAGCTCCTGGGTCCCCGGCTTCTACCCCCTTCCACTTGCATGGAGCCACCTTGGGGAGCCTGTGTCTCTGTGACAGGTTGGCCACACAGTCCCCAGACCCCGGCCCGGGACTGCCCGCCCCCACTGCTCGTCCCCAGTGGAGTAGACACATGCACTCTGGGCCCCGGTGCCCATCAGCTACTGCTGTCCCAGCCCTGAGGGTCAGGTCTCATCAGCCCTTCCCCCAGCCGAGGAAGCCAGGCCCACGCAGGCGGCCGCCTGCCTCAGGCCCCAGCAGTGCGGCCAGGCCAGGACCCAACACCAGCCGTGGGACTCCAGCGCCCCACCCCGATTCTCTGTCATGAAGGGATGGACCCCAGAGGGCACTGGCTGGGGGCAGGAAAGACCATGTCATCGAAGACAGAGCGCCCTTCCTCGCGCCCCCTGAGGCCACGAGGAAATCGCACGTTGGTACAGCTCCTGGGTCCCGGGCTTCTCTCCCCTTCCACTTGCGTGGAGCCGCCTTGGGGAGCCTGTGTCTCTGTGACAGGCCGGCCCCGGTCCCCTCTGTGGCCACACTTGGGGAAACAAAAGGCCAGGCTGTTGAAGCTGCTCAAAGGGAGGGCAGATGGCACCCCCACATGTCCGGGCAGCCTGCTGGTCTCACCCCGCTGGTCTCACCCCAGCTCCTTCCCAGTTCCCTTTCAGTCAAGGAGGCGAAGATGTAGAGCGAGTGACTGGCTGTCCCAGCGTCCCCAGCTAGGGGGTCCACTCACAGGTCATACGTGTGGGGAGAAGAGCATGGGGTCACTGTTCGCCTGCACCTGTCTGCACTGTCCCGTGTCCTCGGGGAGCCCAGATCACTGACCATATTTACGCCACAAGAACAAAGTCTATTTTTTAACCTAATGCGATGCAGAGCTGCACTTTTCCTATCCCAAGTGGTGGCACTGTGCCTCCCGCTTCACACCAGGCAACAAACACAGTTAGTCCCTCAGGCCTTCTGTGTCTGGCTCCTAAGCGGAGTGGGGGGCACGGGAGGAGGGACGGCCCTGCACGCTCCACCCCCACAAAGGGAGACAGTTTGGAGTTTACATCCCATTAACTGTACAGAGGAGGCAAGAGAATTAAAATGTGACTCCAGCACCATCGGAGGCTGCACTGTGCCCCAGGCCCGGAGGACAACTGCTGAGCAAAGGAAGATTCCTGCGGAGATGCTCACAGCCCGTTTCCCACACCTGAGAAGGGGAAACAGAACCAAGAGTCATTCCCTACAAGGCAAAAGCCACTGGGAACCTGTGGATTAAAGGCTGGGAACTGCGGGGCCCCTCACTGTCCATGTTCTTACCTTTTCACGCCCCTCCTGGCCGCGTCCATATCAAAGGAAATGGGTTAACTGTCTTTCAAAACAGTAACTCACAGGAGCTAAACAGTGGCATACCAGCTGGGTGCCCTGAACACTGGCCCCGACTCACTGCTCACCGCGTCTCATGGTCCTTCCCGCTCTGCCCCTGGGAGGGGACCGCGCTCTGTCCCTGGAGGGTCACCCCTTTTCTAATCACCTCCCCTTTCGACTCCAACTTTGGAGCGTGTGCTGAATTCTTTCTACGCCCTCCGCCAAAGGCCCCTCTTCTCGGTGTGGGGCTTGGTCCTCCCACCCGGGGAGTTCGCCCCGTCCTGCATCTCGTTGATCAGTTGGACGGCACGCACGGGGTTGGGGGGCCAGAGACACTCACGCTGTCCAGTGAAGACACAGCGGCCGGGGCGTAGCAGGGCAGAGGGCCGCCAACCAAGCCACTCCTCCATCATTGGTTCCATCATTGGTTCCATCGGCCCAGGCTGGGACTGGACGTCCCCGAGGAGGCCGGGCCCAGGGCAGGGACCCCTCACCCTTCACCCCTCAGTCGCTGAGCCCTCAGCGTGGCCCCACGTGGCTCATGGCAGCAGTGGGGTGCACACTGCACTGAACCAGGAAGGGGGCGAAAGACCCAGAACAGCAGCACCTTCCAGCACGCCCCCCCTGAGCCGGGCACACTGCACACTCGTGTCCCCCCAAACGCGGCCCTCCCCACGGCTCCGTGCTGCGGTGGTCGTGACTACAACCACCTGGTGAGTACTTGGATGGGAGACCACCTAGGAAGACCACATGCTGTGGGCATAAAAACTAAGAAAAAAAATAATAAAAAATAAAATAAAATAAAATAAAATAAATGTACTTTCACAGCAGCATCAAATCTGGTGTTTGACCAAACAAATGGACATCATAGCCAGATTCGCACATAAAGCTAAACAATCTCCCCGCCCCACCCCGGGCGAGTCACTTCACCGCTCTGGCTCCCGAATTTATTATCTATAAAGTAATTAGGCCTTTCGGGTTCCTCAAAAATTCTGAGATGCTAACTTTTCCATTTTCCTCGCTATTATTAAAGTATTCTTTTCCCAGAAGTCATGACTCAACCCTGAGGACGGACCTCCCCGAGTGGAGGGGGCCCCCCGGATCTGCTCCAGACGCCAGACAAGGAAGGCCCTGGGGCTTTAAGGGTGGCTCTGGTGACATCCGCCGACGTCCTCACACCTGCACTCGCAGGCTTCAGGCGGTGGCACAGCAGAGCACGCGGCACGTCTCCCTCCAACAGGCCAGGTGGGCGGACTCCAGGCCCGGCTGTCCGGGGCTCCCACAGGAGCTGTCCCCGGGCCCAGGAGCCTGCAGACTCGTCCTGGCAGCGACCCGGGTCCCCACAGAGCCTCCCGGGCTCCCACGCTGTCGGCATCCAGCCCATGACTCACTGTGACAGAGACGCCTTCTGCTCCCGGGGGTTTTGATGGCGTGCGCAGGCAGCTGGCACCCCAGCAGGGGACTGAACACCACAGAGTCTGGTGGGATTACAGATCCTGAGAGCTTTAAGCTGACGTCTGGACAGAGACTCAGGCACAGCTGTGTGCCCAGGCCCCGCCGCCCGCCAGGTGGACAGCCTGGAGCCCAGGGAGGGCGGGGAGGCACACTCTGCCTGCTCCGCATGCACAGCTGACAGTCACCGCTTTTTCAGGGGCCAGGGAGGGCAGGCCGAGCTCCCCCGGAAAGTCAGGCTGCAGCCCGTGAAGACCGTGTGCCACGCTACACGTCTCCATGCCTCCCGTGCCTCTCGCTGCACGACTCGGCACCACGGTGAGCCGAGAGCTCCCTGTTCCCTCCAAGTGGAAGCACGCCTTCCCACCGGGGCCGCGAAGGTCGCCGAGCTGTCTTCCCCCAGAGGACACCTCCTACAAATGCAGCCGGGGTCTGCAAGGTCCATTCGTCTTCCAGAGATGGGGCGCACCTGAACACCTCGCCATGACCCCTGGGCCATGCCTGGGGAAGGTGGACCGCGTGTCACTCAGCTTTAACTCTCGCCCTCAGGTCTGAGTGAGCACGACACTTCAGGAGTTCGCCTTACTTTGTCACAGCCCTGCATCCTTCGAGATCACTGCCAGAACCCTGGACACCCCCTAACCCCCTCCTCTAGCACATGGCATGCTATGGACTGGACTGTGTCCCCTCAAATTCTTGTGTTGAAGCCCTAACTCCAAACGTGACTACATTTGGAGACGGGGCCTGTAAGGACGTGATTAAGGGTAAATGTGGTCACGTGGGCAGGGCCTGCTCCATGGGACTAGCGTCCTTATAAGTGAGGGAAGAGACCCCAGAGATCCTCTCCCTTCCTCCCTCCCTCTCCACCTCTCTCTCTCTTACACGCGCGCGCACACACACACACACACACGGTCGCACACACGCGCGCGCACACACGCGCGCGCACCTGTGCACGATGCCGGGACGGGAAGAAGGGAGGTCGCACACACACACACACACACACACACACACGGTCGCACACGCACGCGCGCACACACACACGCACACCTGTGCACGATGCCGGGACGGGAAGAAGGGAGCTCATTGCAAGATTTGCAAGAACCCAACCAAGTTCTTTTAGCCTCCCTTTCTCTAATCTCAAAAACGGGCACCGAGGAATATTCTTGTGCTTTCTTCTATTTTATTTTTGAAATGAGTGCTGTATATTCACAAACGCCTACACTGACCCCCTGGAAAATTTAAATGAAGGAACGAGAGATGGTGGGAAGGAAAACGGAGCCCTCCTTGGAGATGTGCGGCCGGGGTGGGGTGGCGCAGGAAGCCTCCAGACCCGGCCCGGGCCTGTGGGGCGCTTCCTCGAGACAGAGCCACCTGCGCGCGTCCTTCGAAGCAAAACGCCGTGTTTCAGCTTCGTGATTACGTTAACTCGGGGGACAGCATGTGGCGACTGCCTATGGCGAGCGTCACTCATTTCGATTTCGAGGAAAATGAAAGCGCGGCAATGAACGTGAAGGACCATCTCGCCG